ACCAAGAGAACCAGAAACTGCTCCGCATCATCGAAACCAGCGTCCTCCTGGTCTGCTTCGACGACCCGCTGCCCTCGCGCTTCAACCTGACCACGAGGACGAGCCACCGAGCCAGCCTCTCCAAGCGGTCCAGCAGCTTTAACATGAATGCCCAGAACTCGGTAAGGATAGTAGGGATGAGGATGAGGATGAGGGTCGGGCTAGGATGAGAGGTAAGGATAAAGAAGGTAAGGGTATGGGTATGGGTCGTGTCAGGATGGGATTGGGTGGGTAAGGGTCGTGCTAGGATAGGATTTTGAAGATAAGGATAAGAAAGTAAGGGTAAGGGTCGTGCTAGGATAGGATTTTGAGGATAGGGATAAGAAAGTAAGGATAAGGGTCGTGCTAGGATAGGATTTTGAAGATAAGGATAAGAAGGTAAGGGTAAAGGTCGTGCTAGGATAAGATTTTGAGGATGAGGATAAAAAAGTAAGGGTAAGGGTCGTGCTAGGATAAGATTTTGAGAATAAGGATAAAAAAGTAAGGGTCGTGCTAGGATAAGATTTTGAGAATAAGGATAAAAAAGTAAGGGTCGTGCTAGGATAAGATTTTGAGAATAAGGATAAAAAAGTAAGGGTCGTGCTAGGATAAGATTTTGAGAATAAGGATAAAAAAGTAAAGGTCGTGCTAGGATAAGATTTTGAGAATAAGGATAAAAAAGTAAGGGTCGTGCTAGGATAAGATTTTGAGGATATGGATAAAACAGTAAAGGTAAGGGTCGTGCTAGGAGAAGAGGGTAAGGATAAGGGTCGTGCTAGGATAAGGATGGAGGTTCTGTAAGGATCACAGGATAAGATTAAAGTTTATGGACGAATAAGAGGCATAAGGGTAAAGGGTGTGTAAGGAACAGAGGGTAAGTACGAATTTATGAGGATAAAAGAATAAAAAGATATGGATAATTGTTATGTAGGTTTAAAAGGATTCGGAGAAAGTTCAGGTAACGTTAAAATCGTAAGAATTAAAGTTATGTACGGATAAAGGATATGGAGAGAGTGAGGAATAAAAAAGTAGATAAAAGTTATGTAAAGATGTTATCGATTGGTAGAAAAACCTACAATCCAGGTGGATTTCGAAACTGTTGTCTCACTTTCAATAAATCTAGTTTTACATTGTGGGTTTTTCTACCATAGTATCAACACGGTAGAGTGTTTTACCATTCATATAATAGTTTATGTTATGGAGGGTGACTGAAGTTTATATTTAATGATTATGATAATGATCATGATGATAGCATAATGAGGACAATGATATCAAACATAATGATACAGTTGTAATAGCAGTAGTAGTAGCAGTAGTAGTAGTATTTGTAGCAGTAGCAGCAGCATCAACAGCAGTAGTTGTAATAACAGTAGCAGTAGTAATTCATTAAATTCACAAATATAATTTTAACAGTATAGTGACGATAATGATAATGATAACAATTGCAGTGAAGTTGATGGTGATTATAATAGCAATAATATAAGCAAAAATATATAATATTAATGGTAATAATAATGATGATTAGAATATCAACAACTTCAATCACACTGATGAAAAGAGTTAAAATGATAATAGAAATGATATCAAAGGTTATTATTATTATTTTTTCCACAGTAGTCTTAATTCACTGATCGTTACATTTCTCTCACTTCTAACATTTCAAATCATCTCAGGAAGTGACCATGCGGGATGAGGTTAACGCAGGTCACCAAATGATTCACGGAGGCGGTTACAACCACAACACAGCCAACAGGTGGTTCGACAAGACCATCCAGGTAGGTCGTGCGATGGTCGTAATGAAATCGCTTTTGAACAATACGTTAATTAAGGGAATCTAGGCTTTATGTAGGGGTAGTATAAGATGTTTTATACCTTCATTCATTACCTGGGACATTATGATTATAGTTGATATGAGAAAAACAGTTGGTTTTAAGATCGCTGTCGAATATTTAATGTAACCTCATGTATATATGGATTGTAGTGAGTTTGTTGCGGTAGGAACAATCCGAATAATTCTGACAAATAGCATCTAAAATACCTTTGGCTGGAAGTAATGCAGCATCTAGTTTTTGGGGGAGCTAATATACCTTGGATCAAAGATAAAATCGAGTGACCGAATATATATATATATATATATTCTCTCTCTCTCCCTCCCTCTCTCTCTCTCTCTCTCTCTCTCTCTCTCTCTCTCTCTCTCTCTTTCTCTCTCTCTCTCTCTCTCTCTCTCTCTCTCTTTCTCTCTCTCTCTCTCTCTCTCTCTCTCTCTCTTTCTCTCTCTCTCTCTCTCTCTCTCTCTCTCTCTCTCTCTCTCTTTCTCTCTCTCTCTCTCTCTCTCTCTCTCTCTCTCTCTCTCTCTCTCTCTCTCTCTCTCTCTCTTTCAAATTGAAAGTAGTTTGAACAGCGACGGTTCCATATGCAACGAAACACGAAAGTCCGAATATTCGTCGGTGCGTTTAGAATAAGTTGTCATATTAGGTGCATC